TAGTTTTTTTTCCCTTTTTAACTCGTGAATTGCGCGCATGCGCAAGAGCGAGTTATAGATACGATGTGGGGAATGGAATTCGCTCGCTCGCTCGATTGGTCGATTCCTGTAAACTTTTTTTAGATTTTAGGCTTTTGAGTGCATTTTATAGTTTTTGGCGAGCAATAAACAGACGAAATGGCGACCTTTGTTACTAAGAATAGTGGTGGGGTGAAAAAGAAGCCAATGATAATCTTAAAAGAGTTTTTTTTTTTCGTTTTAGTTTCAACAAGCGGCGCCAGCGACTGGCAGGCATGCAAGGATTCACACTGAAATAACAGAACAACCTTCGTTTTTCATAAAATTGTAATTTACAATCCTTGAACTTGAAAACAATCCGAAGATTCATTGAAAATATCACTTACTGCGAAGCGCTCGGAGTTTACAGATGTTCAAAAGCTTTTTCTGTTATAGCGTGAGATTGAGGACAAAATTGATCATTACGTTTCGTCGCGTGTGTTTTTCCTGTGTGAAGCAACAAAAGATGCCGGCGACTGATGAAATAACAAGTTAACAAGAAAATCAGATAACACCTAAACAAACAATTTTAGCTACCGATTTCAGTGAATTTTTAAAGAAAAATTTTCTTTTAAGTTTTTAAGACAATTTGAAGATTCAACATACATACAACAAAAGAAAAGAAGATTATTAACGCGGGAAAGAATGAAATTGTTACACACCACGAAATTGATAACTAGGCCTGAAATGAAATTCTATCTTGTTATTGATTATACGTTGCCTAGCACGTGACTTAAATCTACCCAGGCGGAGATCCAAAATGACGGTGGCAGGCTTGGCTTAATTATATCACTCAAAACTCGTACCCGTTTGTCTCATTTGATAAAGAGGGAATCGTTAATGTTTTCATTAAGACAGTATTGCCTTGATTTTCTAATATTTACAACGAAAGACAGTAAATTTCACTTTTCACCCACATTTACTTCCAACCTTTTCTTTTGAACCAGAAACAAAAATGATAGACGTTTAAAACACATGACATCATCCACCTTGTCAAATGTAATAGCATGATCATTTCAATTGTAATGCCTTCTTATCCCAACGTTACTTTGTTTCTTTGCTACATTAGCGAACACTGAACTACTGCTCGTACTCTAGATATGACAATCAACCACAAAATTCCCTAAACCAGATAACATTAAACATAATCTAAAAAATCATGTGTCAATTCACGAGTTTGCTCACAGAGCACTTTGATTTGTTCGGGTTTTAATTTTTTTTGATTTGGTGTTGTTGATCTCCTTTTGCCAGTCACCCGTTACTAAGAGACGTCCTATAAAAAGGTGATAACAGCATACAGATACATCTGTATACAGATATATTTAAACTTTTTTACCTGATCTACTTGCTTGCGAGTGTTCTCGTCGTTCTGTTTGAGACGAGACTGCAATTCATGTATACGTTTGTCTTTTTTCGTGTTTTGTTCCTCTAAAGTCCGCCTCCGTGCCACAGATTCGTCAAGTTTCTTCTTCAACTTACTGCATTCCTTGTTTGCATCTTGTACCTTGGCACTAAATTTAATCAAATCTCATTAAGGGGAACTCAAGGTGAATATTTAGAGAACATGCTCAAGCATAAATCTCTTTCTGACTGAGAGCGCAAGAAAGTAGTTTGAAGCAGTTTGCACCATGAACACAATACAACCAACCAAATTTCCTATCATTGATTTCAAAGATTTCACAGTATTCTGGAAGAGGCCAGATCAGACAGGAAAAAACAATCAGACAGAGGGAAAATAGGTGTGGAAATATCCACCGAATGTATTATGGGATGGAAATCTCTGTAGTGGAAATTTGCTTAGTTACTAAAATGGGATATCAGGTGGTCTAAGGTTATCAAACTGGATACGAGAGGTCTGGGCCCAACCTCTGGTCAAGTCACAGAGCTGTTTTGATTTCCTTCTTTTTATTTTTGTCTGAAACACTCTACTCAGATAACCTACCTTGATTTCTCAGCGGAATCTTCCAACTGCTGAGTGAGTCTCTTGCACTCTTCTTTCATTTTGTTGCACACATGAATCTCAGCCTCGAGCATCTGCTGCAATTCAGTTCTACACTGAGCTGCAGAAAGCAGAGCGAGTCATGTATAATGACATACATATCCGAAAACAAAAAGCTACTTTTAACGATGTCGTAATAATATAATCAACAGCGCAGAACGATAAGATCTAATGAAAATCAAACAGATGGTATCGGAAGCAGGATACCGATGCCGCCTTCAACTTCGCTTATTAGAAACTGTTGGGAGTCGTACTCAGAGGGCCTTTCATTGTGTTTGGTTTGTTCTTTCGCTTCTGTTTACGGCATCTCCGATAAAAGTTCCCTCAGGTAATAAAGTTTCTAAAGGATTATAAAGTTCCCATAGGTTTATAAGCGCCAGGTCAAAGGAGAAATCGGAAAAAAATGGCAACGTTCTGATTCTCCCAAATCTGAAACTTTCTGGTCAAAAACTCTGCTTTTGACTCAAACTACGACTCCTATGACTACAGCTTTAACTGTTGTCGACAGCACAAGCTTCAACCATGAAACATTTTTGGTTTGTTTGCCAAATAAACATTCAAAAAAAGCGCACATAACGCATGCGTCAAGCCTTACAAGGCTCGAAGGAATCGAATACTCATAGAGAAGAAATGGTCGATAAAAATTCACTAACTGTGCCTTGTTTCTGTCTCTTGTAAGAGCGTGGTAAGTTGCTCATCTCTCTGTCCGCTTTGTTTTCGGAGTTGTTCGAAATCTTCCGCCCTAGTTTTCTCCAGCTTTTCTTTAGCAGCTATGGCACTTTTAGCCTGTAAATGAACAATCAAAATTCTTTGAACTAATCGACAAGAGGTTCATTCTACCCAGAGTAATCTGCGCCTTGCTCCCCGCGGTTCACGCGGCGCCGGGATATTTCCAGCCCACTTTGCTAAATCACGCGACAGATTTTGGCAGGTAAGGGAAGGATGAAGGGTAAACGAACGGACAAAGAAAAGAAACGACTAAAAGAAAAAAACGCTGGTATACACTTACTTCTCGCTCTACATTATTGAGTCTTTCGGTAAATCTGATGCAGTCCTCTTTACACTCCATCCACGAGTGTTCAGCTTCTTGGAGACGCCGTCTAAGTTCATCCATTTCACTCGTCAGCCGTGTTCTCTCCTGAACAGAAGAGCATGAGCAAGGTGGTCAGAGATCTGTAATTGTCTATGGATACATTAAACACGTTTTCTTGCTCTCTTTTATCTTTTACCTGCTCTCTTTCCCTCTGCGCTTGCTGAGCAGTTGCTTTGACTGAGTGCAATTCTTGTGAAGCAGTTGACAATCTCATTTGTGTCTGTTCAAGTTCTTTCTCCACAGTCTCATTAGCCTGGTGAAAACTCAAAAACCTTAGATTGACCATACGAGTGAACTATTCCAAATACTCTTTGCATTTTTCACGTGTCTCTTGTACTACGCAAGCCTAATTGACGCGCCAGTGAAACGTGACACACATTGAATGTCATAATCCCACTAACTCAAAGAGTCTTTCCTCCGATCAAAGAAAACTTTAATCCAACAAGTGTGTGGTGAAAGCGAACCCAAACTTATGGTATGAGATGGATCACCACCCATCTTGTCTCGTCCCAATCTCTTCGCGCTTAGAGCTCTCATTTCATGTCATAAGGCATGGACCAACCTTAGACTTACCTTAGACTTACCTTAGAAATTTCAGATGCATTCGCCAGGATTTGGCTGTTTGCTTGTTCCAGCTCTGCCATAAGGTCGACCTAACACATTGCAAAAATAAAGAAACTGAAAAATGAACGCAGAATGAGGAACAAGGATAAACGTAGCAATTAATCATCTCCGGGAAATAAGTATATTATCCCCAGAAGATAAGTCGATAAACACGAACCTTTTCGCGAGTTAGCCGTTCTAGTTGGTTCTCCAGCGCTGACCGAGCCTCTCTTAAAGATTCTATCTGTGAGAGTAAAGACACAAAAAAACTTGAACTTAAAAAAAATTGCAACAACGTACAGTAACAAAACTGAAAAAGACAAAACATTAAATAAACTACAACAACAACACTACCCATCTTGGCAATCGTTAGGAACAGACAAATGTCGTTGGTTGGCATCCTCAATTTTATCAGGAAATCAAGTGAAAAAACATGCATATTAGCCGCGAATTACCCAAGCATATTAATAACAGTTTTAAGTTCCTTTCCATTTGTCAATCATATTTTTAAAATTACAGAATTTCTAACTTTGTTTAGGGTCTGATTGGTCTTTGATTAATTGTTGAAAGTGAGAGAAACATTTGAATTTTTTACTCGCGACAAGATTGTCCAGAGACTAATTCTGAAAAGGAGTAATAGTGACTGTGATAAAGGTGACTTGGGAAAAACTACACGTCAAACGCCTTTGACTAAAGTTTGATAAATGTTTGCTGAGGTATTCGAGACGTCTGAATCCGCTTACAAGTTTATACGTCTGAACCTTCACCTGGACGGTCTTTTACCAAAAGACAATTACAAAAACGTGTTCATATTATCTGCAGAACTACTGTAAGTACAGTGTCAGTCAGTGAAATAATCATCAATGTAAATTATCTCCTATTCGGATGAATGTATGGGAACAGTAATTGAATTGATTGACCCAAATTTTTGCACAGTGAATTTTGCCGTTGTTACTGTTCTTTTTCTTTCCCTTTTTTTTCTGTTTTTTTGTTTTTGTTTTTTGTTTGTTTTTTTGTTTGTTTTTTTGCTGTTTAGTAGTTTGTTTGTGTTTTTGTTTTTCATATATCCATTCTTTTAAGGGGAGGGGAGAAAGGGTTAATTTAAAAAATGCACAGTCTGATCAATTTAATCAAAAACTGCTTTCTTTTGCATAAGTAACTACAAACAACTGTGGTGTTATTTGAGTGGCATTACAGATTCAAGCTTAAGCTTTGAACGGAAATTAAGGATCATGAAAAATTGTTCAAAGACATGAGAATTGACAGGACTCCATTACACAATCAGAGAAACATTTATACCAACCGATTTCATAATTTTATTTTGCAATGCTTTATGAAAAATTTAATTAAACACCACTAAACACTACTATTTAATGACAGAAAATCATTTTGATATACAGTCTATCCTTTCCATCTAAATCGTATTTTGACAAGTACACTAGTCTGATCAGTTCTGTTTTTTATATTCATCATATGAAGTAACATTTAAAGCGACAAAATAAAAATTTTTGAAGATAAAAAAGTAACTTGCTATTCAGAACGCCATTGACATCTAAATTTTATGTTAACAAGTATTCGAGTCTGATCAGTTTTGTTTTCTCTTTCCTTCTTTTCGCCGCTTCTCAACCACAACAGTTACTACTGCAACAGTTACACACACTGCACCAACGACTCCTAGGACAACCCAACCGCTTGGGGTAGTCAATGTGGCAGTACATAAAGCAGTCGATATCGAAAGTGTATGGGCAGCCGCCATCTTCCCTGGAAAGAAAAATAAATTTTGAGAACAGTCTCCCTACATAAGCCCGATAAAATGATTCTTGCGATCGTTTAAGGGAACTAAAGGGAAGCAAATGCATTATAAGATAACTTTTTGACGATTTTATGATTTAAGGTTAGAATGAAGAGATACTTTGTCGAAAGCTGTGAAGTTTTTTCTTTTTTTGTTTGGTACGCTCTGGTCACATGATCGGCAGCTGGTCAAGGCTCTCAAATGACTAAATGAGTAGCAGTCGGATATTTTTCCGAAAATGCAACATATTGAGAGAATGTATAATTCAAACTATTACATGTCGATGAAGAACCGCCAAGCGATCCCGAAGTGATTTATAAATGCCATGTCTAACGCTCGGTCATGTTTAACTCTGGGCTCAGAGTAAGGAGGCGTCAAAATTGCGTGAGGTCGACTGCCGGTCACGGCTCTCAAATGACTTGATGACCGATAGTTAGACATTTTTCGTAAAGTTTAAGAAATCGAGGCAACCTATGCAATCCAAATTATTATATGTCGATGAGTAACTGCTAAGCGATCTCGAGGAGATTGATAAATCTCATATCTAGCGCTCGGTTTACGCTGACTCAGATTACTTAGAAATCGCGTGAGATCAACTGCCCGTCACGGTTCTCAAATCACTAGATAACCGACAGTCGGAATTTTTTAGGCACTGGCCTAAATCTGATGAAAGTTACTATTACTTAACTCTTAGGGAGAAAAGATGCTAAAAAAATTACTTTAACTAACTCTCTATGAGAAAAGTGGACTCACTGAGTTAGTAGGAAACAGTATGCTTTCCCTGAGATTGGTTTGTGTGCAATGCGGATATGGAAAATTAAAGAGACCAAGACAACCTGAGCAATTCAAACTGTCACATTTCGGTGAGGAACTGTTGAGAAATCCCGCACAGGTTTATCATTTTCATGTCCAACTTCTGGTCAACGCGGAGTTTTTCCCAGATATTAAAGTAATTCAGTTTGGCCTGTCACAACAATGCCTAACATTATAAGGCATGGCTAAAAACGAAATACTATTTCTTTTTTAATTAACTTCTTGTTGACCAGAAAAACAATGAAGGACAGGCGCCATCCGATTCAATCTCTTAATTCGTCTTTCTGCGAACTTTTGAAATCCTCCTCTTCAAAATGTTCAGAGCACACTTTGGTACCAGATCTCACTCTTATATTATACTTTGATCTCATTTCATCCTGAAAGTCAATATCTCTTTTAAAAGAAACTGAAAAACAACAATTTTTAAATCGGGAAGAGATTAACTTATATTCGGACCATTTACTCACGCAGATTAAAACACAAATTTGTGCCACAAGCGGTTGAAAAAATATGGCATGGATACTTATCATCTGAAGCTTAGCATCCACAGGGTATTTATGAAAAGACAAATCCGAATTTATGGAAGTACTGTGGCAGTTACAAACGCAACGATAGTGGACAACCCTCTACGTTTTGCAGTTAACTTTCGCCGCCACTGTTATTTACCCATTTCGGACCACGTGACCAACCTATGACTATGAAGCTAAAGAAAACAACTTTATTGCGTGAACTAGATCATGTGACTTTGATGGAAATAAACATGTTTCACCTTACACTCGCCAAACGAAATTAAAATAAGGAATGGTTATAAACAGACAAATTGTAACAGTGCATCGGCTGAACCTTAACTGAAAACAATATGTCAACAAAAATTACATTCAACCAGTCAACAAAAGAATGGCGATAAAGAAACGGTAAAATTTCTTGACCCGTCAAGAGGTTACTACGCAATTCAATCAATTCAGCCATCCTCTATTATTCCCACTTGATTCTTCAGCAATTATGGTTCCAATTTTATTGCCGGGTTAAATGAACATGTTTTATTAAATGTATGCACATACACTGTACTTACCGCCAACGATAATGATATTTTGAAACCGCCTCTATACTTGTGGCTTCGCTTCCGGTGTTCAGATCGCTTCGCCTGGAATACATAAAAATTAAACCTCTCAGAAAACGCAAACAGGTATCTAAAGAACACTCGAGCTAACTAAAGGAAAAAAAAAACACAAAGATAGACTCTAATCTCATTTATCACTTTACATTTTAGCCATTATGAGGAACACATCGCCTACCTTTCTGCTCGCTGCCGGCTTTCACTTTGTCAACACCAGAAGGGGAGACTGGGAAAGAAAATCCTGGCTATTTAGACCCAGTTTCCCGATACTGGCCATTAAGCTCAATAAGGCCAGAGTAGAAATTCAAACGAATTTCTCTTTAGTAGAGATAATATTTATTTGTGAGGAAGTCTGGTTTTTGAAATGTGATCTCTGTCCTCCATGGATTGCCGTTGAAATTCCCATTTCAAAAAAGCCGTTCAAAGTTACGTTTTAGACAACCTGAGGTGTTTTTACACCGCAGGAAGAGTAATTAACATTTATACCTTTAAGTTTGCACCATAAAAGTATTTAAAAGGAACTTACCCTCAGCTATCACGCGGCGTTCATGAAAATATTCACCATAAAAAAGGAACAGTGTGAGCCTGTTTGTTTTTTTCTCCGATCGGAAAAACACATGTTTACTTGCCAAGGTTGTATGATGACCATCACGTATGTTCCACGCAATAAGACACACTTCTCCATTTTCTTTCGCCTTTGCTAATCTTAACAGTATCCGGTCACATGTGAACTTTGTGATGCCCTAAATCGCCGTAGCGTCTCTGTGGTTCAGTGGGGTCAGCATCGAAGCGCAGAATCTAGAGGTCTGAGGTCTGAGGTCTGGTTCCTTCTGGGGATTCAGAAGGTTCGTTGTCCCAGGCCCGTGACGAGACGAAAATACGTCTTTCTTCATTTCATTTCACCATCTTTCTTATGTCATTGACAATTACGATCGTTCCAATTTACGGCTTCGGACTTTGAAAGGGACAATCCTGACTAAATGAAGTTTGTAAAGGCGTTTGGGCTTTCGAGTGCCGTCAAACTAACAAACTTCCACTTTTTGAACACATGGGGTTTCAATCCTCCTTGAGTCGTTGCAACCTCGCTATGTCTGGTACAATTATTTCTTACTGATTGCGTTTGCAGCATATGTCTTGTGATTTTTTAAATCAACGTGTTATTCCATTAGCTTTTCTACTGTTACAGTAGTACTGTAGTTCGAAGATGTTCAGATGCTCTTCACCCCAAATTAAACGATTAATTCACTCTGAAGCCATGAAATTTTTTTCATGTTTGGTTAGAAACAAAAGCAGACACACAAAAATTTACTTAACATATAAATTTACGACAAAATTCCAAAAGCACCTGTTTAACAAGACCACTGACTTCCTCCCGACATGCTTCTTGCACCTTTTTCCTCTCCATGTCCATTTTTTCGCTGAACATTCTCATGCTGGTTTCGTGTCGCTCTCGTTCTTTCCGCAAATCTTCTCGGAGCTGGCGAACATGAATGATGGCCTAGCGAAAGTTCACACCCAGAATTAAACACAATTGAAGCCTTTCAATATCGTCTTTCTTAAGTTTGGTCCCAATTATTCGCGGGTGACCAGCTACCTAACAACAGGACCGCGTTGAGGTCGAAATTTTATACGATAAAAAGCCATGGCGACTTCCACTCGCTGTCTTAATATTGGAAATATGCAACAGCTGCAAAATGTATGCAGCAAAATCATGTATGATGCACCCCAATATAAAGTATTGTAAACGTACACTCATTTAAGTTATATGTTGACATCACAATACCTCTGCCTTTTCTAGCTGAGCCTGTTCCACCATATTACAGCTCTTTTTCACTTGGTTGTAAGCTTCAAACTCCCGCTGGCGAACCTCAGCTAAGACGGCTTTCTGCCCTGTCAGCATGTTCATCAAATCATCCCTCTCTCTGAAAACATGGCAAGATGTACAAGAGATTAAACAAAAATATAAACAGACATGTAAAAAAAAAACATCAGAAAAAAAAAAACAATAACAATAACAGAACGAAACCAAGCAAACTAACAAGTTCTTATTTTAAATGTTGGTTACATTGGGTTTACTATAATGAAGCAGATGGGAGACAACGAAGCTTATCCACTCAATGCACTAAGTACATGCGAGGAACCTTTGATTTCGGCGGGGGAGGGGGGGGGGGGCTGTTACCAAGGTCTGTTTTGAACACGGCTAGTCGTGTTTCGTACTAGATTCACTTTAAATATTGACCCTAAGAAACCTTCCCTGGCCTCAGGGTATTTCTTGATACATCCGTTCAGATTCTTACTTTGTCAGTTGATTGATTGTGTCTATGGCTGCTTCACTGTGTGTATTGGACAAAACGGCAGAATGATGCCCACATTTGACGCACAAGGCTGGTTGACCTCTCTGATAAAATAACCAAAAGATGTACACTTTATCATTACTCGCAAGCATGTCCAGAAATAAAAGTAAAGGGTTAAGTAACACTTTGCTCATCCAGAGAAAGTCATCCTGAATACATCTTTTAAAAGCCATCTTTAATCATCCTTGTTCGTACACCTTCGATTTCACACTCGCAAAACATTAGTTATTAACTAATACCCCATTCACACCAGCAAAACATGTTTTGTTAAACTGGTTTTCATTGAATGAAAATTATAAATAGAGAACTGAAAAACTTGATTTTCCATTGGATTCAAGTACTAGCTAACTTGCATTTCCAATGTGCTACATTCAAGTCAAAAATATTCGGTTAAATAGTTTCTATGAAGAAAAAAAGAATTAAACTGTGTTTAACAAAACAACTTTTAAACATGTTTAAGCTTTGGTGTGAATGGGGCATAAGATTTCTTTCTAGTGTATCCAAGAGTACTTTTTCCCTTTGCAACATCAAATAAGAACTATCTTGACGAAAATTGTCCATAGCAAATTTTTAAGGCAATAAAAGCCCCACAATACCATAAAACAGAACCAAAAGACAAACCACGCCGAAAACAACAAAAAAACTCCCAAACTTGACAAATCAATAATCACTAACTCATAAACAACGACATAACCGTGCAACTGTCTGACCTGATCCTCTAATACTTTTTGAGCTCTGCAAGACAGGTAAAATTAATATATGGAAATTAATAATTTCGAAAAAAATGACAGGAACATCAAGTAGAACTTGGCATTAACATGTAGAAGTAGTACTTTATACTTTACTCTTCTAAGTAACAAAAACAACATATAATTGTAGTTTGCTATCTCATTTTCACTGACCTTAATTTTGCTTGCAGCTCTGATAACTGCCTCTGGTAGTCTTCAAGTTCATCTCTAAAAAAATTAAAATTAAAAAAGAAAAGAAAAAAGGTTGAGATGGCCCCATTAAAGTCGGGCAACCAGTGACAAAGAGCATGATGACAAAATGAAGCAGAAGTTCATTGTTAAATCAAGCTACACAAACTCATCAGCAATATCTCATAGAGGCTGTAGCATGTCTAAATTTTAATTAATCTTAAAAGAACAAAGGCCTCTATTGGGTGCGAAAATACACTCTAATGTCTGTCCACTCAGAGAGACCCATGAAAAAGAGCTTATTTTTCACTCAGAACAGCTGGATAATTCACTAAGAAGAATATGTCAAGGAGAATATTTCATAAAGGATTAACATCATGGTAAGAACAACTGTAACAAACACACAAAATAAAATCAAGATGGTAAGGTGAGAAAGTTGTTACTCAGTTGGAACACGACATCACCTTGTTGAATAAAGAAGAGACTCCAGATGTCTTGTCTTTGCTTCATGCAGTTTCCGGATTTTCTCCTGTAAATGACAAAGCAGTAAATGTACGTTCAATTCTGCAACAGTTTGCTTGACCATAGAAACCAATAGCGTAAACTGCACAAAGTGGGTGGGTAATTTGAGGATAAATTCTATTTCAAAAAGGGAATAAAACTCTTGGAAGCTAATGTGGTATTTAACAAATGGATTATTAACTTGAGATTGCTATCCCCTGATACATGTGCAGCTGTAGTTAATGAGGAGAAAGCCTCATCAATATAAGGGAAAGTGTTGCACCAACTGTTGTGGAGCTGAAAAATGCTTCAAATATCCAAACGTTCAGGATTTAATGAAATTTAATAAAGCAATTATTCTATTCAGGCTATTTGGATATTAGCCAACTCAATATTATACACCTTACTCGCTATTTACCATCATATATCCAATGCGTGCTCAAAGAGTAATTGTTTAACATACTGTACCAGTTGTTCAAAACTTATCAACACAAAAGACTCGCATCTTTATTTTACTTTAAGACCACGCACTGTTACTTAGAGCACTCCCTTTCTTACTATTTACCGCAGAATAGGTAGCACAGCCAATCAGATTGTAGCAATTGGGATAGGTAGCACAGCCAATCAGATTGTAGCAATTGGGATAGGTAGCACAGCCAATCAGATTGTAGCAATTGGGATAGGTAGCACAGCCAATCAGATTGTTTGGGATAGAATGTTGGTAGATTTGTACTAAAAAGTGATAGGGAGCCTAAAAGCTGAGTCCTTAGCATATAATGGAGCAAAAGCTACATTACTGTGAGAGTGCTATGTTTAAAAGCACTTACCACCTCTTCTTCAAGCTGGTTAACAAATTTTCTTTCATTGGCAGACATAAATAACTGTCAAGATGTAAAATAATTATTTCAGTGGTGACATGAACTTGAAAATGGATGTGTGTAAATGGTGTACAATTTAGCAGAACTTGAAATTGTGAAAACAGATTTAATACTGTAAATAATTGCTTGTAAGCTGTATCTTTTTCATAAACAAAGAATACCTTCCCAGGAAAAATATAAAATAATCTACAAATTGATTTGAATATGTCACCATTAAAATCTTTTTCTCCTGTGAACATTGTACAACTGTAAGGTGAGTTTGACTTTAGTGAATAGCAAGTGGAAGATAAGTGGAAGGTCTGCAATCCTTTCAAGTGCTATAATTATTATAAAGTTTACAAAGTTTTACAAAAGAGGTGATGAATCCATTGGTGCATGAAAATCATGTTACTATAAAATGCACCATGTACAGCCCAAAAGATTCCATACTTTTGCAAAAAACAAGCAGTTTGGATTAGTCAATCAACAATTTAAATGCTTGACATACTTTCTCCTTATAATATCTTCTCACTATAAAAATTATATAAAGGTTTTATAAAAATAATTTGACCCTTTACACTCTATCATCAGTAAGCATAATCTCAATACTGTTCTCTAAAAATTTACTTAGGTGCCAACAGAGAGAATTTTTTCCACATTCATGAGATTTTATAGTTGGTGATCATTTCCTTTATTCTTGCAAACTTAATGTGTGATTCAAGGTGATATTTTAAGTAAAAATTAGATGCCAGGTTTTTTAGAGTCAGTGTCATTTAATAATAATTGGCACAAAAGTAGTAGAACATTTCTAATGTCTGTGCATACACATGTGCAGGTGATTGGACCATACAAAACTACATCAGAACAATTACCTGGGAATCAAGGTTACTTATTCCAAAGGAAGATTCAAGTGCTGATCTTTGCTTGACAGATGGCATCAAGGATCTACTGGGATCCCTTTCACTTGGTACTACATCATGTAAACCAAGTTCTTTTGTACTCATAGTTTCCCTGTCCATTTTCTTCAAGCCCCTCACTGGCTGTGCTTTGCTGTGTTCATGAAGCACAGCTGGCAAGGTGCCTTGCTCTTGCCTCACCTCATCATCATCCCCATCACCACTGATGGTGCTGTCCTCTGTCTGTAACCTACCCAACCTTTGTTTTGGATCCCCTGATGTGGGGCCTGATGGAAATTGTTCCTAAGCAGAGGGCAATAAATAACATTAAATAAAGTATTGAGTGATCAGTGACAACTGATCCATATAATTTAAGCGACAAGACATTTAGATTTGATAAGGCATCAAATACATGTAGGTACATTGTAACGAAAAATCATAAAGTAAAAGATGCCTGTTTCTTGTGAATTATGGTTATGAATTGAAATCAATATTTCCTAATGATATAGGGTCACTATTGTTAAAAGAGTCAAGCTAATAATTGAAAACCATAATGCTTTGACAGCTCTTCTTCCTAATCAGGCTTGCATGAGAGAGCCTTCTGGAAAAATTCATAAAAATCATTTTTAGCGTTAGACACCATGACCTTAAAGTTCAGCCAACTTAGTGACTACATGTGGAAGGATCAAGGTTCAGGATCTGTGTGACTCATTGTGTTGGGTTCTTGTGCAAGACACTCTTCACTTACAATCCCTCCCTTCACTCATACTGGAGAGCTGTCAGGAAACCTGACAAGATGCAGGGGGGAGGTGAGGGGGCAACCTACAGTGGATTAGTATCCCATCTAGGGGTATAGCAACATAATACTTCTGGTCACTTCATGCTGCAAAGCCAGAGGAAAGCTCCTGAACTTTGTGGGTGCAGAATTAACCTTTTGACCTTTTGGCAAGGTATGCAAATGTTTGCAGTTAGCATGTCACTTGTTACCTCAGGCTTGCTTTGCTCTCCTGTTGATAGCACTTGGGAAATGGCTTGAGTCTTGAGCTGATCAAACAGATTTTCATTTTCTGTAATCACAAGTTCTGCTCTTTGTTTTAGAGACTCCAGGGCATCCTACAATTATGGCAAGGGGAAACAATGAAAAGTCAACTGTGTTGAATGAAAGTTTCATATAACTGTGATCATTATACATGAGTGGTTAAGAGCATTTAATTAGTATTCAATAGTGTGTAAAGTTAACAGTCATGATTTCTGCAGCAGATATTGCATTTATCATGTCAAGTTCAAAGTCTGTCTAGTTTCCAAGCCTTTATCTGTGTAGTGTTCTCAAACTTTTATAAAATCAGAAGTGTCTTTTTTGTAGATTGATGAGAGAGTGTGCAACTGGACAATTCTTCAATTCTGTTTTCACATGATATCATGAATTATAATCCATCAAATATTTTTGCTTGAGCATAATTGGTCAAGACGCATCACATTCTCAAATAATCACCAGCTAAAACTGAGGAATATCCGAGGATATACCTCCAGTGAAATTCTCTAATTTTCAAACTTTATGTCCACTGTGATGAAAGCATTGTTTAAACTTAAAATGGAAGAACATTTAGCTATTGTTACAGAAGAAGGGAAATCTTTGTTTTTTCATAGTCATACCAAAGAATACTGAAAGTAAGCAAACTGTAAGCTGTTCGAAAATATTTTTTCTGCACTTTGTAAAAAAACTTTGAAGGATAATAAACACAGTAGCCTGAGACTATTTGCCGTGAAATCTGCACGGATATTTGTCTTAAAGCATTATCTGTCCCCTGAAACTCACAGTTTTCCTAGAACTTCCCTCTCAGAAAACTCGTCACATCTCAGAACAGGTAATGTCTGCAGACAATATCTGTGTGTTTTTGCACCAAGTGGAGGCTATTGTTAATTTATCAAACTTCGTGTCTGAGTTATTTTCCTATTGAGCCTTTGGCAGATAACTGAGACCTAAGTGTTGATAATCCATGATATCATGCTCAACCTCATTCAAGAATTGCTTTATGGTACAGAGTACTTAGGCTGCCAAGTCAGTGTTCCATACAACACTTCCATTCTGGACTTCCCCCATAAGAACAATTATACAATTGACTCTCATTAACTTTACATTGATCAAGGTTAAAAGCAGTAACCTCACCTTGTAAAACTCAACTTGGCCCTCAAGGTATTGTAATACAGTGAACTGGTTGTTCAAAAGCTGTGTTACTTCATCTGTGTTGGGCAAATGGCTCCTGTCTGGTACTGTTCCAATCTGTGAATGTTTGAAGGAGATCTAATGTTAATTATTTCTAAGCCTTCCTACATTTTATTTTTGTTGTTTCACTGGATATCCATTTGTCCACTGGCAAATAGCAAATAATTTTAAAGAATAAACATGAAATTGAGTCACTTACTGACTGAGAAGTAGCTGCAGCTCTTGGCTCCAAAATCTGTGAGTCATTGTACTGCTGAAGCAAAGTCTTTAGCCTTGTTACTATAATATGAATATAATGAAGGAAATTATGGCCACTCTTGAACACAAAAGTTTGATCAAATTTAGCACACATCAAAAAGTTATAAAACTCTAAAATTTTGGCAATGTATTCCTTTGGCTACCTTCCATAAACAAACTTAAGCAATGTATAATGACTCTTTGTTTCATTCACTTGACTGTAAAAAAACCAGACACTAAAAAGTATTAACAGTGAATCATGAGTATAATTAATGGGTATATACATTGAAACCCCAAAGAGTTGAAAGTGGTGAATGAATGAAGCTATCTGTCCTTTCCTAAATTTCCTAAAATTAAAGAATCATCCCAAAATAAAAATTGCAAAAAGAATGTAAAATTAATAATTACATAAATACACGTACACATCCCACACAGCTTTGGGTTTGATTGCTTCTGGTTCACAGTTGTTACACTTCTCTATTTGTGAGTAGGGACGGCTAGATATGTATTTAAATTGCTAAGTTAAATAAAGTTTGTCGTTGTTGTTTTTGTCATTTAAATGCTTAAATTACAATTGAGTGTTGATAAAGGTAATTTTTGTGTTGTTGCTTTAAACAGGGTTGACATACCTGAAACACTGTTGACAGTGAACTTCTTGATAAAAATCAGACAACAAAAAACAATACATTGTGACAAGGAGGAAAAGTGTGAGGAAGGAGTGCATGGTGACAATTAAGTTGGATATGAATGTGTGCATACTTCTACACAAAAAATCAACTAAAAGAGAAAAATGTAATTTTTCAATGGAAAGTTGGAACCACTAGATGAGCAGAGACAACACAACAGAAGTTCTGATAGCTATCAATACAGTAAATTATATTACTAGCCGGTGTTTTGAGGAAGTCTTCTGAGGTAATTTTATTCTGTACTAGTGCATTCTGTGCGGCCACCATAACCCACATCCCCAAGAAATCCTTAAGTATTCATACACTTTCATCAATACTACCTGCTGAGCTGTAGGAATCGCCTTTATACTTCCTGGAGCCGGGTGATTTAACAGGAGAATTGAACGCATATCTGAGAGGTCCGAGGCTTTGAGATGCTCGCTCTGCAAGAGAGAAAAAACAATATTGATACACATAATATAAGAGCTGTGTAACAAACCTTTGCAAACTCAGCCCTTAAGAAATGGTCAGTGTAAATCGACTGAAATATGCAGACCCTCTGTACAGGTAATTGAGATAGACAACTGAGCTCAGTCACAGTCTTCCTGTACACCTTTATTGAGATACATACCTCGAATAACTTTTTGGTAATCTGAAATTGGCTCATCCGCATCAAACATTACTTCTCTAAGACCTTTCTACACCATCAAAAACGATATCTGAGCAAATTTCTACCAAATTTGAACCAAAATACATGTTCCTCATCAAACTAGCGCGACGGTTTCAAACAGGCGCTCAACGAAGAATTGAGCCCGCGATGGATCCTCTCGACCCAGTCTCTTGTCAGAAAGAAGGTTCTCAAGATGGCTTCTTGGATGACGAAACTTCGGTTGCAGTTCAAAGGCATTGGAAACGTTGTTACAGGAGTAATTATCGGTGCTGGCTTGGTAAAGATTTATTACGAGACTTCGGATACAGCAGATGGTAATACTCCTGCCAAGAAAGAAATCGAGGATATTATAGCTAGACATGATAACCTCAAACGTGGACGCCATCTTCGCACAGTTAGTCTTCGAGGAGCATCCAACAAGGGGCTAGAGGTGTACCAAGTAGACAGTTCAAGGTATGAAGTTTTCGACACTGGAGACGAGAAAATGTTCAAATATGGCCTCCCACGGAGGTCATCGGACTATCTGCAATATAAAAATCACGTTTTGTGTTACGATCAAGTGAAGAAGACGCCGAGATGGGTACTAGAACATTTGACACGTGAGAAAGTTAAAGGCGAGGCGAATAGGATATACTCGGTTTTTAAACCTGATCCGAACATTCCAGCTATTTTTCAGTCAAATAATGATGACTACTGGGACAGTGGATGGTCAAGAGGGCACATGGCTCCCGCAAGTGAGTACACGTTTAGGACAACAGTATTCTAAGGGTACCCCTGCTATTCAAAGTGAAAGATCTTCTGTCCAACCCAATTCTTCTTTGCTGATGGGAAATCTCTGTTGAAGGGATCCAGAGAGCCTCTCTATTCCCAAGGGTATCTCACTAACTGCATGTACATGTACAAGATTGTGCACATGTGGTTTCACTTTCTATATTGCACGTGTGACTGCTTAACACAAGAGAATTTTTTAGGAAGGCAAGGTTGTCAAAATGACGACACATCAAACAAAAAATTACAGAGTTGCAGAAATATTTAGGTGAGAATGAGATCTCAACTACATGCGCCAAGAAGGGAATCCTTACATTACAAGGGAAGGGTCCAGTCTGCAGAGTATGGCAGAACTCAATGTGATCTTGCATGTGCAAAGACGATTCTCCAGTGAGGAAAAAATTATGCTTAGATCAAACATACTCTGCAGTCAAGGGAAAGGATATTATGATATCTTACACAGTGCTCTTTGAGTGCTTGGAGAAGCAATTGAAAATATTGCATCTCCACACTCCATTTTCTTGAACTAAGCCTGACTTCTCTCTCATGGTGCAATCCCCTCCCCATTTCTTTGCCCATATCTAACAAATGATGCTTAAGTGGAGATTGGCATCATGCTAATGTACATGCAAAGAGTAAGCATTTCTTCTCTGGGCTTTCTAATACCCCTGAGCTGATACCTTCTTTTCAAAGAGGATAAATGAAAACTTTGTATTTAAACTGTGTAATGGCAGTATCAATTTAAGCAGTTAAAATGGAGCCTGAAATCAATTTAGGATCGAGAGGGATTTCATCTTATAACTGTTTTGCATTAGCCGTGGAGGAACACTTTGTTAAATTAGATACAAGTGTTCTGCTCTAATCTCTCGACTCCTAGTTTGTTTTCTTAGCTAAATTTGTTGGAGCAATATCATTGTTGCAGGGCAGTTATATTTTAAATTCCTGTTCAAGCCTGAAATTGTTCTCAGGCTCTATTTTTGCCACTGGTTTTAATTGTGTGTCCAATTGCAATTATATGAATGAGGTTACTACCCCTGAATTGAACTGCACAAAAAGTCTTAAAAGGAAATTTTAATGTGAAGATACTCAACTCTTTAACTACCACAAGTGACGAAGAGAGAATTTCTCCTTATAATATCCAGCAGACAAGTAATGAGAAAAGTGATGAGAATAATGAAGAATATCAAGTAGGGAATTATTAATTGATCCAATACCAAATTCTTCAAACTAACACCACAAGAATTGTATGACAGACAGTAAGGAGAATAGCTAATGAGATCAAGGCAATGAAAGGGTTAACAGATAATTCTCTTCAATTCTTCGAGGTGACAACAAATATGACCAAGATGCAATGAATGCAACGTTCCTCTTGTCCAACATTGTGCCACAAAATCTGGATAACAATGCTAACTATTGGTACAGACTAGAAGCTTACTGCAGGGGTTTAACAAAAAGATACTCAGATGTGTACATAGTGTCAGGACCACTTTACTTGCCAAAAGAACAGGATGGGAAGAAGATGATGCAATATGAGGTAAAGAGCTCTTCTTCAATGATAGATATTTTATTTCCACTCCCATAAGGTATTCATTTGCATTGGAGAGTAGCCTGCCGTGTAGGTGTGATTTTCTTGAGCATGTGCTCGGTATTTTCTGGGTGAAAATTATCGCCGCCATATTTGATTATTACAGCGGCGGAAGGCTGGGGAGAGGAAGAAATTTGTACCAAGGGGGTGGGTGGACAGCAAAAGGAAAGGAAGGAGATGGGGTGGGGTGATTGAAATTCTGATATTTCCCCTCCTGCTACTTACGTTGTCCATTCTAACTCTAAATCATACATGACCGACCGGAATAACGATCGCCAGCTTGTAAGTATAGATGGAAAGAAGATACTCTACTTCCTTTTGGAAAACAACGAAAGTGTCAAGAGTATTTCGAGTGACCTGGTATAAACTAAGGCAAAAGGCAAGAAGTTAATCTCCTGCTGTCTGCCGTCTTGGAATTTTAGCATTTTGAAACGGGCGTGAGAATTGCACAGCATATTAAATACTGTTTTATCCTTAAAGGATAAGTTTCTGATTTGAATTTCTGCCTGTTTCGAAAATTTATCCTGCTCTGTGCTGTAATGTTGTGTTTCGTAAAGACGTACGATGACCAATTTTCCTCAGCTTGTTGGGTTTCGTTATAACATCTACTACAAAATCATAACTTTTTTTAATGTTGATCCTTAGGTTATTGGTGCTAATAATGTTGCAGTGCCAACTCATTTATACAAAGTTATTTTGGCCGAAGACGGAAACAAGCAATCAGCTCTAGGAGCTTTCGTCATTCCTAACGAACCGGTGGACTTCGACAAAAAGTTGCCCGAATTTCAAGTTTCTTTAGACGTGTTAGCCCAGTACTCAGGTTTGATATTTTTCCCCGATTTTGAAGCTGAAGAAGCGACTGATCTTTGTTTGACTGATGGCTGTAAGATGATGTCAAAGGAACGCATGGATATGATTGCGTTTGGCCATCGTCTTCGAAACGCGCCGAGTTTAGAATTGTTAGAAAAAGTTTGGCGAGAGTTGAAGGAGACCAAGTTGACACCTGACGCATACACGATAGATGTGTACGAGTCAAGGAAAAGAGAACTGGAGCAACAAGAAAGTGAATCCGAAATAGCGATAATAAAAATAGAAGAACTTAAGGAAAACGAGGTAGAAATAAAAACATAAAAGGATTAGAAATAAGAGAAAGGGGAATGTAAACTTAAAGTGTTTCCATTTTCCTGTTGCAGAAGCAGAATTGTGACCCGTTTCTATAATGAGCCTCATTAACTTTTTGAAATTGCGGCAATACATTAAATTCTATACTTGTGAAAAGGATTAGCAGGTGTTAAGTCAAAAACCGATCATTTTTGTTTATTCTTCCTGATATTTGCATTCGACTTTCAAGATTGTTTAATATTATATCTCTATGTTGAAAAGAAACATGCCAAAGACAAAAAGCTTTCCGGGTCGTCGGCTCCCGGGCGAGAAACAGGTCCTTTGGCGGAGTTTGAATCATCCCCAGGGAACCTTATTTTTCCATTGTCCCACCGGCATTAAAACAACGTTGACATGTTCCTTTGGTCGAGAGGAACAGGATATTGGTGGTTTTGCATTCGCTCTGTTGAAGGGCTAATGCTCGAAACGTCAGCTTTTAAACTCTTTACGGTGGCCAATTTACGTTATCAAATAAGTTGGTAATACTAAATTACCCTGTTATACTTTCCCACCGACGCAGCACCACAGTTTCTTTAGAAACTTATTCTCTTTATTGCATATTGTTTCTTTGTATTGTTTTAGCTTTCGGCCGGCTATTGATGGTATTCGGGCTACAATCTTTATTTCCTTTCGTAAGCTGTTACTTTCGTCTACTTTTCGCTAGACTGTCAGTTGACTATCGGTTGCCATTTTGTAGACTCGGTTTGCTACCAGTGAAAATGCTGGTCAGAAGTAATTGATAGACTTTCGCTAAGCCATCAGCTGTCTTTTGCTTGAACGTCTGAAGTCAGCCGACGGTCGTAAAAGAGTCTTTACAATATTAATGTTCAAAGATTTCATATTTCTTGTAAGCTATGAAAAATGATGATTGCTCGGGAATTGTTAGTATTGACCAGCTGGTTACATCACCGGCTTGCTTAGCGTTTTCGCGATATCTGACCATGTTAGGAACGAAAGGGAACGGAAGTGTGTAAGTTGGTCGCGTGTTTCTTATGTAACACCCATTTAAGCAAACGCCCATTTAAGGAAATACGACATCGCTTGAGGTTGAAGTGCTTACGTCATACTTCCTTCGCGACCAAATAATTTTGCTCTAAGCAAACTCACAGAAACAAAATGGCGGCTTCATGTATCTTCTCTGTTGTTTTTCGCTGGAAACGAGCATAAATCCGTTTCAAGGGGTTAGAATCATTCCAAGTCTTCCGGTGTGGAAGCGAAGGTTTTGCATAATAAAATCGCTATCAGAGAGTTAGTACATACTGAAACCGGGAACCCGGAATACGCAGGAACACGGACAGGACGCACGAAAAGCGGGTACTGCATTAAAATTGAGCTCTATTTTTTTTTTTGCATCGATTTACGTTGTTTATTTTAATTTAATTTTTTTTTTCATCTTTGTTATTCTTCGAGTATTTCGCTTATACCGGTATGGCGGTATGTTCCGGTCCTCTGACTACTGTGTTTGGGCGTGTTCTGTAATTCCAGTGTGGTCTGGTATTCCGCGTTTTAGTGCCTTTCGATGGTTTTAGAAAGCATTCGAATCTGTTAAAAAAAAACCCTGCAACCGACTTTTCAGAAGTAGGAGTCAAGTGTGAATGTAAGTTTCCATAAATACAACAAGAATTAAAATGTTACCGACCCTGACTTTGTAGATCTGAAATTTCCTAGTGTTTGCATTGTGCTTTCAGTTAACTTCAGTCTACGCAAAACGGCACTTGGAAAAATGAATTTCCTCTCGAAACATAAGAACACAAAGCCACATTAAACAATGGTGAGTCTAAATTAAATGACGAAAAAAAACCCTGGGACATGAAATGGACTAAGTGATTGCGCATATTTGAAATAAACTTGAATTACCGTCTGCCAAAAAAGCAAATAAAATAATCCTAAAATCTGCCGTTCGATACAGCCTGTCTTGTTTTTATTTACTTTTAACATGAATGCGGACTTCTCAAGTCAAGGGGTTAAACCCTTGTAAACATTTCTTAACCAATCACATTTTCGCGTGCACTATTATTGCTGCACAATATCTTTAAGAGACTTTGCATATTTGTTCAGTGAATCGTGAAACTAATAAACAAGCTTGACTCATGCAAATTAAAATTAATGACTGATGTCTTGTGACTTTGCATGCTGTGAAGTAAATTTCTCCACTTAAGGGAATTAGTCAAAGCTTGGAACCTCTTTGAGGTATTCTCTAGAGTTTCAATTCTTGTTTCGAAGATGGCCTACGAAAACGGGCTTCTCAATCCTGGCTTCGCGGCGAGTACCATGAGCCTTCACCGAAGAAGCAACACAAGTTTGAACACAATCTCCAATTCTTTGTATAGCGAAGCCGACCCGAACAGCCTTTACAACACTTTACAACGGGACACAAATATTGCAGTGACTCCAAGATTACGTGTAAATGAGCCGATTTACGACAAAGTTAAACCTGGCGCGAATTTACAAAGCAGACAGGAGAAGGCCGCAACTTCGCAACAAACTTTGCAAAAGAGACAGAGTGTACGAAGAAAGGACAAAATCATTCGCTTGACTGTGATGTGTCTCATTATTTTCGTTGCTGCGGCAGCATTATTATTGGCACTTCTGCTGTTCATGGGGAAAATTGGTCCAAATTGTTCGTGTGATTCTACAGGTACCGGTAAGTCTCGTAAGAAACGTAATTGATAGTGTTAAAAACTCGGTTTAGTCAACACAGTGCCGCACATTCAGAAGTTATTTAGGGTTTAGGGTGAAATAATGCAAATTCACTCATTATTTAAAACCACTTTGAAAAGCAAGAGGCAAACTTTGGTTTAGAAATCTCTCGCTCTCAATATCAGAATATGAAACTTGAGCGATCGTATTTTTACGCCTGCTGATTTTTTTTTTTTTTGAGAGGAACTTTTTTTTGGTTTCGCTTATTTGGCAGTTTCGGTACTCCCCGTGACTGATCGAAACTTGTATGCCCACGGAATTCCGATGATATGAAACAAATTTAGTTCGCCCAGTCATTTTTTTCTCCGTTTTTAACACAACAACTTTAAGCTGACTGGATTTTGTCGTACACGTACATACGGTGGAACTGTAAAAAGACCTTATCTCTGTTTATAACGTAATCATTTTATCAAAAATCCAAATAATGTATTCAGTGTTCGCTCTGTAGGATAGATTCCAAGTTAAAAAGAAAATACTTCAGTCAATTTTGTAGAAGTGATAAAATTAACTCGAAAAATGTAGTTTTTGTGAACTCGCTATCCGTTACTTCGCGATATGTCAACGATACTTTGGTGGGATATGAATGAAGTCAGTTTCAGAATTTTTGTGCGTTGTTGAGGTGTAATCCATAATTCATCAAGCATCTATTAACTAATTTAGCAGGTCGTGGCAGATTTTTTCAGTACACAATGTCAGTGTGGTGATTTCAACTCTTCATTCGCCCCCTGAAAAGTGGAGCGTATGGCTGTGATGGTCATTTCATCTGTTAGTTAAGGTTGAACACTGAAGGCAGCGGCGACCCTTTATGATACGTCATAGCCCTTAACGATTGTCCTGAATTTGCAGAAAACCCAATGGAAACAAAAGTGTCTACGTGTTCTATTAATAGCCAATAAAGCTAACCACAAAAATTAAAAAAGGGAAATCAAAACAAAACAAGCGCCAAAAACAAGAAACAAAGAAATCCATAATTTACAGAATATTTCAGCGCAGCACACGAAGGCTGCACACATAAACTTCACAGGTTCCATCACAACGAACATATCAAAACTTAATTATTGAAAATCATTCTCGATCAAATGATGCATAAAATTTATTTGTCTTTGATCCAAGGTCTTTCACTCAGAGTGTTCTTTGTTTCTAGATCTCTCTAAAGAAAGTGGAAATCTTGGTTGTCTTCATCAGCTTTAGAGAAGACAAATCATACATGAGTGAATTTCAAGCTTTCATTTTTTATTTATTTGCAGAACATTGAGTACAGATTAATTTGTCATGAAAATATACACTTATTCGAAACAATGAACCCTCTAAGGCCTGTTCGTTGTTTTAAATTCCTGTGGTCGTGTTTGCCAAACAACTTTTAGCTCTTTTGGCGCGTTTTGCATTCTTTACTTGTCCAACTTTGCGTAACAAAAGCCAGTACTTAATTTATCAAGACCAAAATATATTCCACGTGTACTAAGGGTAGATACTTCTCCCGTGGTAACAATCCACGTCACCTCTTGACTAAAGGCAAGCAGCCTTGCATATGCAATTGGCGTCAACGATCCAATTTCACTGAAAAGTTCTTGATACGCTTGCTTCTGATGGCTGGTCGCTCTACATCAATTGAAGATATTCACGAATCGAAGTTATACACACCATCCGATACAAGACATCGCCTTAGCTTTGACAGCTCATATGTTGCTCTAAAACAGACAGCAAATCTTAAACCAGGAAATTCTAACGCTAAACCAAAGAAACATCGCCAGAAAACAGCAAAGAAACTTCAAAACAGATCCTTAACATCGGTTTCTAATCACGATCATAACAAAAATACACGCTGCAGTAAGCTGTGCATTCATCGCATTGTTCAGTACCTTGTGCTATTTCTCTCTATTTCCGCATTGGTGATAGTCATTTTAATGATCCGTGGAGTTGTAGGAGTTTATCCAGGTGAGCTACTTGTTTTGTTGATTAACATTTTGGAACTTAGGATAAGTTTCCTATCTCTGCGAGGAAGTATGATCAACTCAACTCACAGATGCAGGAATTCAGCTCATATTTGATTTATGCAAACTATTTTTATAGATGGATGTAGCCAAAAATGAGTGCCTATGGCAATCTATATAAACTGTTAGAAGTAAGTCTTTACTAATTCGCTCAATACACCATTATTAATATTGAAATCTAAGCGTTTCATTTGGTATAAGCAGTCATTCGCCTAAAGCTCATTGGAAATACTTTTCGTTCCTTACCGATGATGCATCATTCTCGAAATAGTTATATCTTTTCGTATGCCTTGTTACGATGAAATATAGAATCTCTTGAAACCTTCGATGGGGAGGATAATGGAAATCAGACAATGTACCACCACAAATATTTGAGTTCTGTCCCAATGCACTACGAGTCGAAGCTACACAAAGTTTTGTAGTCGCAATTTTAAGCACTATCCGTGCACGTTGCCACAACTGCAGATATTTTACGAAGTCATTCATTCACTTTGCCTCATATGCCACTTCTCCGCGATAACACAGTCGCGAAATCTATATATGTAAGCTGCAGAAAATTCCATATAAATATATTAATATGTATTTTCTAATAAAATACACAAAATATATATATGTGTGTGTGTGAATTGAGTAAGGAAAAAACCAAAGAAAATATATATTCGCTATAGTATGTATTGAGCACTGTAATACGGAAAAACCGAAAAATAGACTTCCTCTCTCTCTCTACATATGTATATATATATATATATATATATATTCATATATTTCATTCAATGTACGTCATTTAGAATAAATTATTTGACTGTGCTTAACAGTAAAGCGACAGTTTTTTTCGTTTCAAGATAAGATGTCCAGTTTAACATAATTCACCAAAAGTTAAAGAGCCTATATTGCATTGCTTCTTCAGCACTAAGACCAGACATGTCGAAATAAATTTAAATTTAAGTCGAATATCATTTGTCAATTTCCTATTCCGCGACTCACTTTGAAGTCCTTTCAAGCTATCAACTCCTGTGACGCGAAACGAAGCCTTGCAATTCACTGACCTCACCGAGTGAATTACCACGGAATGTTATGGATCATTGCATTAACCTAAGGTATAGACAAGCAACAATATGCCCCGCACAATGAATTAAGCATAGTCTATTTGGTCGCTATTACATACATAATTTAAACTACACATCTTTTAGCCATGAATGATCATGATATATGAAGTAAACATATTTTATTAGACGTTTTAGTGTGTAGTATCGTTGATTATTTCTTCGAGTTGCGTCGTATTTTGACGAGCCTGAAGAGCGAGTCAAAATACAAACAACGAGTAAAAATATACTCAGCAAAACTACAAAAAAAAAAACATCAAAACGTCTCATAAGTCATTTATTATCCAGCTGCTTTTTTTTCTGCTAAGTCTTTCTGTTCGTTTCTCATAAGGCGGGAAAAGCAAAGCTGATAGAGAAACGTAGCGTGTGCAGCCGACTGGTTAAACAAATTTTGACAGTACAAAATAACCAACGTTCTAAATGACCGTATAATATCGCAGGATATTTCTACTCTATTTGCGCGTTATTTGCGCTTTACTTTGTGCGATTGGATAATAATGATCCTCACAGAACTTCATTTTAATTGAGGGAAAGAGTTAGGGCCTCTATGCAGAAAGAACCTAGGATACTACTTCGATCTCAATACTTGGTTTCGTAGCTCAGTTAGTTGTGGCTCGCCGACAGGCATGGATACAATCTCTCCCTTTGGTCTGTTTTACCTAACTGAGGTATATCTGTGAGCATCAATTCGTTCCTGAATATGCTTTATTACATATGACATTCACCGGTCTAATAACAAAGAATTTCACCGTTTTAATCATCAAGGTACGACGTCACCCAGCACAGGCCAACAGAAAAAAGAAGAAGAAAACTCATTCAAAAATGAGCGAAAGACAACATTTGCTATGAACTTGTCTCCATATTTCGAAAAAATTGAGGAGCTGCAAGCAAACCTCTCATCTCTTTATGCAGAAGCGGTAAGAATTTCTGAATGCATGATTGTTTGCTTGTTTCAGTTGTTTTTTTTGTTTTTTTTGTTTTGGCTAGTGTTTTTTTGTTTTTGTTTTTTTTTTCGTCCATTGCTGTATCCTAATCAAAAATCACCCTTCCCCTCCCCCTCCTTAAAAACTCTAGCCTTGGGAAATCAGTTTTTAGGTGCCTCTTACTCATTAGCTGTGCTGTAACATGATGGTCAAACACATTTTCTTTAGCCTGCTTGCGTTTCTAACTCCAGAGGGATGGGAAATCATGCAATCATTCAAATCCATCATTTGCAAAGTTATAAGCTTTCAAAGGCACTCATGAAAGAAGGAGACTGGTCCCAGTTTCAACTGAACCAGAACCGGTTCTCTTACGTCTCAGACTTGCTAACCATTTCATTACAATACGGATCTACAGTCCGACCGACAAGCCTGACAATAGTGAATTGGCCTGCAAGCTTGGTAAGCGAGCTCTCTCAAGTGGTACGGTTGAGCAAGGAGGGAGAGCTTCCGATTTCATCTCGTAAATTTTAACATCTGCGTATCAAAACGTCGACGTATAAGACTGATTAGCAGGTCTCATTTAACTTTTGACAAACGATATCTCTTTCCATTCCTGTGCCCTCTCTGCCCAAGAGACCTTGCGCGATTTCGATTTACACCACTACTGTTTTTCAATCGTGTAGGAAGTAATGCAGACCCTTTGAACACCTGGGCCCCGATCGTTCATAATGCTGACGGTAACATATCGACTCTATAGCGTGTTTTATTATTTGTCTGCATCGATAGGAATCACTAATGAGGGAATCAGGAAGGAACAAAGAGGCCCTAATAGCAGCCAAGACGGAATTTGACTCCACAAGAGATGCCATTAAGTCATTTTCTGATGGGTTCTACGGAGACATTGATCGTGTAAGCTTCATTTGGCGGTTCAAAATTAAAAGTTAGGTCCTTAACGTTAAGCTTACAAAAATATTGACGGAGGCTTCATCCATGCTTTATCATATATTGTCCTGCTGTTGATTTACAGGTGACCAATATATTCGAGCTTTCTGAACTGAGTCAAGAGGCTTTAGTGTGATATTTCCCATTAGAAACCCTTTAACGTGGAGACAGTTGTGACTAAAATGGTTTTTACCTACTCATTAATGGGGAAAGATTCTATTCTATTTTATCAACCAGGCTGAGTTGTTAATATACATTGGCCACGTTAGGCTTTCTTCAGGGCGAAGGACTGACCATGGAGAGGCTGATGCCGGAAGCGTTAGCATTAGACACTTACGAAGACCATCTCAGATTATATTACTGACTCAGTTGATAAAACCAAAATTTACTTCCTTCGTTAACCTCATAAGTAACTCGTGATTGTTATTCTTGCGTCTTTTAAACTTTTTTGTTGCTTTTTCGCCCCGTCCAAGTTTCTACAACCTTAGATTAAACCGGAAGCTGCAACAGATTTAGTTGTCTCCTTCAGTCACAACTGAAAGACGAAGTCTTGAATCAAAGCTTTCATTTATTTTAATAACAGACTGAGAACATTCCTTAGACTCCTCATCCGTCACTACTTGTAGACTTCAAGACTTTTCTGTTGATACTTTGGTTGTTTGTTTAGTTTAATTTTTGTCAGCTACTGCCGTGTACTTGTAGAAACCTCGCGTCACTTTCATCAATCAGTGAATCTCTACTGTGTACTTTTTCACCCCAAGCTCACCAGCCTTGGTTACTTTAGCCATAGGTAACTGGGTGGTACAGCCGTGAAGTCTTCTTGGCCCGGTGAAGAAGTTATCTTCTTTCTTTTCTTCTTTTTTTTAGGCAAATAACTCAATGCAGCAGTTTAATCCTGATCATGGTCCAATGTTCACTCAACTCGATTCTTTGAACGCAACGCTTACGAACAAGGTATATAATTAGTTGGAGCAAGACAATATTAACTCCTCTTAGTAGAAGTGATTATCATCCCTGAATCAAACAGCAGGGTTACGAAAATAAAGGAAAAGATCGCTAACTAAATAAGCTCTTGATTGTTGAACAAATTCTCCTTATCCGCACCTTAGAAAATGTGTAGAGAACAGTATGGAGAATATGCATACTGACACAAAGGTGTAAAGGGTTAACGTCACCCCTCTTATTTTCGCAGCTGTCACAAGTGAAAAGAACCTTGGAACAACATGACGACGCCATTGTTGCTATGATCGACACGATGAACAACACTGTTGGAGAACAAGTATGTTGTACTTCGCTTGCTTGTTTTGATAAATTACTGAACAATTGTGAAAGGTGATGCTTCTAATTCGGTGACATTAAAATAACCGGAAAAAGATGTCTTTGATCCTTTGAGTATATAACTGTTTGGTCGCATTTCCTTGGCTAGAAAATATGCTAAATAGTGTCTAGAAGTTAATCCATCACCATTTTCCTTGATAATATATTAATATTCATCAAGAACACGTTTCGATCAATTTTCAATTGACAGTCGAGAATAATCCGCAATTGCTTTGTTTTTGCTTTAATTTGCTCTGTAATTGGGTTAGAAAACTCACACCACTCTCCTCCAATCAGATGCAAAACTAAAACCAATCACAACTTTGTCGCTCACGTTTTCCCGCGCTTTGGGCAGTTTGGTTGTTTTTTCTTTGAGCTTCCATCGGCTGTTTAAGGTATTTTCGTTCCTTCTGGTGGGCCATTGAGAATACTTGGGCTCAGGTTTTACGACAGTCAATCAAAAAGGACTGTATAGGAGGCACCGAATGTTTGACTCAGCTTGAAAAGTTTATCACAACTTTTTTCCAAGTTTCGCATTTTCAATTCGTCTTGACCTCCATCATGCTCTGCAGTGTTTGTTCCTCCTTGGCCCATTATATCCTTTTGGGTGTGTGTTTTTTAATTGAACGAATGTTTTAAGTTTAAGCAATTTTTGCTCATCCAAAAAGTAAAAGAAGCAAAAACTCGAAACATGGCCAATGTCATTTCTACCCTTTCCTGGAGGAAACTAAAATGGTCGGGAGAGAATTCCACTCGAAAAAAAAAATTCCCATACTTGGCTTGCTTTTCATCTACTTTTGCTCTCTCTTTTCAAAGGTGAAAGCAAAAACCTCCCTTCCTGGTCCAAAAGGCGAACGAGGAAGGAATGGCTCGGTGGGACCGAGAGGAGATCCGGGACAAACCGGTCCAATAGGACCTCCAGGGGATACGGGGTCTCCGGGTCCCCCAGGGAATAAAGGAATATCTGGGAAAGAAGGCTTCCAAGGGGCTAGTGGTAGTAAAGGACTTCCAGGTGATAAGGGATCTGAAGGCTTTACTGGCGACGATGGGCCCACTGGCGCAGAAGGACCCGAGGGACCTGCGGGACCACAAGGGATTGGTAACTTCAGTTGGTGCCAGGAGGAGACAGCTTCGGTCAAGTCCAAGGATATTCCGGGGAAAAAAGCTTCCGTTAGTGACAGTCAGGCGAGTAACCACTGAAGGATGGTTTTTCATGGCTTCACCTCGCTTTTGTTGCGATAGCCACCTTGATTTGAATTTCCGAGGCTTGAAAAAAACATCAAACGAATGACTTAACAATCTTTATGACAGCATCTGTTCTCAAAGCTCTCTAGATTCTCGCACTACTCGAACATTAAATTTTCTCCTCAAGATTTCTTCTCTAGAACTAGGATGGAATTCTTTTCCTTATTTCTTCTTTGAAAGAAGCCATCTTCCTTTCAATCTTTTCAGCATTTCAAAATCGCTAAAGGGATTTGTAACTCAGTCTTTTCTATCTCAATTCACGCACGATCGGGAGGCAGATCAGTAAATTATTCACGTGGTTTGTTAATGCCCATGAGTACTTGCGATAGCGATATGTATGTAAACTATCATATCGATGTAAAATCTTTTCTCCGACGAGATAGACCTCGAAGAGGATTTAAAAATTGTCGGAAACAAATGAAGTTGTTTTCTTTCAAAATAAGCTATTTAATGGGATTACAATTATTCGTTTGTCTGTATCTTCCAGATCCACTCAAATCTTCTTCATTTCATTAGTTTTTGCTCCATGTTTTCTCCGCAGGATACAAAAATTGTGGCGGCGACTTGCACAACGGATTATGGCCAAGAGTATAACCTGGTGGTAACAGAAAATGGAAATCTTAACAATTACGAATGCGTGTGCAAGGGTGTTGGAACAACCACTTCGGGAAAAACCATTAATGATGTGAACTGTATTCTGTATTATTTGGCCTGCCCTATACAAGCTCCGTGATATCTTAATCTCTACGTTTTTTACAGATTATATAATTGAACTGGAAAACATGCCAATCGAAATTGTCAGTTAGCAGTATCAAGGACACTCAACCATCGGTTCATCAAAGGCATTTCCACTATTTTCCAGAAAAAACGGCTTTATTTGTACGGTTTTATATTTTAAATTTTTTGGTCAGTACGTGCTAATAGTGCTTAGATACAGATTTATTCGAGATTCTGGTAATAGCGAAAAATTGAAGATATTTGTTTCTTCATATGTAACTACAATAAAATTCACCATAATAATACCGTATTCAAAGAACAGCACAATAGATCTGACACAAAACAGCTGATCACTTTTCGAATCAGTAGAAAGATCCAAATGACTCCCTAAAAATGTAAATAATAAATTAGGAAGGTTCGTTTCAAAATATATAAAATAAAAGGTGAGAACTCCCTACGTGAAAACTAACCTAGAAGTATGCTTGTGAATAAGGATATATCGTATCAGTGAGATAACAACGTATGTAGTTTTATTGAAAAGGAACAAAGCAAGTTTGGTCAGGTGTACAACTACATGTGTTCACATGGACAGAAGTTTATTTGCATGTGATTAAAATTTTCTTTTCCTTTGAAAGAGCGAGCATCAGGCCCTGTTTGTTCGAGCGTTGGATGGATAACGTTACCCACTAGATAAATCTCTGTCCTATGGAAAGCCCTCAACGTTTTCTTAACACTTAGTCGTCGGATAGCGATTTATCCGTTGGGTAGCGTCACCCACCAGTTGAGGGACTAGGCCCAGGCCTTTATCTTGAGATGAGGCTGAGGGAAATTTGTCTAAAACTCGTTATCATTTTCACATTTGCGAAGTAGGTAATCTTAACAGAAATTATTCTAAACAATTTGATTGAAAATTAGTTTTTTGTTTTATATTTTTGCCCCACTTTCCTTATGAATTTAACATTCCTTTTTGTCTGCGTCTGAGAGCTAGACTGTCAGCAAGATTACTGCAATTGAAAGCTGACAATTTCTCTTCGATAGCGCAATTTTTTATTTGAATGTCGATTGTAGTCCGGGAATGCATTGGTTTTGCTTTACTTTACTGTGATTGGTCCGGAAAACTTGCGCCACTCTCTCTACCAATCAGAAACAAAGTTAAAACCAATCCTGACTTGGTTGCTTGCGTTTTCCCACTCCATAGGGAAACTTTACTTTAAATTCTTATTAGCTCTTGGAGGTATCATTCCCCACGTAAGAAAAGGTATCACACGAATTTACGGATTCACGGATTTATTTTGGACACAGATGTCTTAATAGACTGTTTAACTGCCTCGCATAAAAAATATTATTATATGGAAAGGCAGTTCAGAGGTAAAACTGAGCAGCCTGATTGGTTCCTACTTGGTCCGTATCTTGCCATACCGACTGTCTCCACGAGAATGGTCAAAATCCATGTACTTTATTTTTTTCGCAAAAGCCGCCAAATTTAAAATAAACAAGTTTGGTCGGAGTTCCATACACAATAACAAACTGCTGACTTACTTAAATCACTTACTGAAGTCCCTCGCTCGTTTTTGTACTCCCCTTGCCGCGCCAGACGTTCGTACTGCCACGACCTAAGGCCAATATTCTAAGTACGGCCCTTACGGTCGGTTAGTACCAAGTTATTTTGAAATCACTTGCTGGGGCCCCTCCTCGTTTTTGTTCTCCTCTCGCTACGCTATAGGTTCTCACTGCCACGACCTCAGGACAATATTTCCAGTCGGTTAGTAACAAGTTATTTTAACCCGCGGAAGATCGTTTCTTAACTTTGTTAACAAAACACAGCGAAGGCGCTAATGACTACGTGCTAACGCTTGAGCTTTAGGAACCTTCTACGGTGGCCAATTTGCATTAACAACTCAGTTGATGAAACAATATTATGTTTAATATTTAGATTATAACCTTGGCAGGACCTTCCACAAACGTATAAAGAACATAATGGAGAATTTGCATACTGTAGCTAGTTACTAGTCACTAACTTATACACACGAATCGTTCAGTCATTTCTTTCTTTATTTTCAACTAAAATTTTAATATAACAGAAAACTATTCAATTCTACCTCTATGTACATACTCAGACACTTAAGTCTATTTTTACAAGGTATCTAAACAGGACTTATGAATTATATCCTAATAGCCCTTGTGAACTGTTTCTACAAATGTTAAACTTCATAGCTAACTAAACGATCTCAATTCGATAACATATTCTCTATATACAAACACCTCTGGGGTACCTTCTAAGCATCCCCTTGCTTTTCAGAAACCTGCGTAGAATAGTTCAGTTTCCAATGTAAAAAGAAAAACCGTTTTTAACACGTGTTTTGTTTTTGCAAGTATGTTCGTCTATTCTGGAGTGCGTCTGCATTGCTGCCTCTACAGAGATTCGTGTTGTAAAAAAGGAGCTTGCATACCACGCACATTAAAGTACTCTATACAATTTGTTAATGGAAACTGTAACCACAAAAGATGCTTCTCAGTTCCTAACTAAAGAATGCTACGGACCTCTGTGTTCAAAAATACATCCTCTGATACAATTCGAATTCAAATAAAACTCCTAGTTGACATTTAGGCCGATAAAACATTATATCTGTTAAAACTAACAAACTAACCAAAGCAGATTATCGAGTTTTCTTACGCTGACTACGTTGAATCGCCCTAAGAGATAATCTTAAAGTGGTTGTGTCATCTAATAAATATACTTAATGTTTTAGTATACACATTTACTATAAACTTAAGTAAAATACGCGAATAAAAATTGCTCCTCAGCATGTATGCCTGCATACAGTCTAAGTACCTTGTAAACAAGTTGCAGATAAAAACGCAAAAAACATCAAGTGAGAAAATTAGTATGCTTGTAACTTCATTACCGTGTGTTAACGAATTAATAAGCATATCTAGAGCAACTTTTGATCGAGTTTCGTAACACCAAATCTAAGGTAATTGCAGCGAACAATCAGAACTGAGCAAAGGTCCACGAAGAATCAACCACAACGAAAAGCAAAGGATGCAAGAGGCTCGAAGCGCTAGAAAACGGAAGTATTTGGACAGGCACTTGATTGGTTCAAAAGGAAGCGTGGGTTTTTGAGATTGAGATTACACAGATTACTTTTGATACTCGGTTGACATCTCCTCTAGAACTTCTGTAAATCAACATTTATAAATAGCAACACATGAATAACAACGCAATTGATAACACAATTGCTTTAAAAGTTACGTCATGACTCACCAATGCTTGGGGAGATTTCCATGATGTACGTTAGTATGCAAAACTTTATGTTCCACATTGTTCAATTTAGTTAAAAGCGTTAAAATAAACAACAACAAATAAATAAATTGAAACTAAGAAAGCGAAAAATAATAAAGTCAAGATCTGAAGGTGTTTAAAGAGAATGATGAAAACGAAAACGACGTTACTGTACATTATATTTCATTCCGATTACCTAACAGCTTCCTCTTTAAACTGATAAGAAAACAGTATTCCTCGTTTCAGATTAACCATTTTCACTGATGATAAAAACCGAAATTAACTTCTTTTCCTTTGGGAAAATAAAGCCTTAATCTAGGCTTTTTCTTTTTATCATATTGCGAAACTCGTATTTTCAAATTCTTATGAGCTGTAAATCTTATTTGAAATAAAGCTTCATTCAATTCTTCTATTGTGTTTATCTAAACCAAAAGTCACTAGGCAGTGATAAAAGTGAAAGACACTAAAATTTTAATTGAAGGATTGAAGGCTCATACTAAAGCGATCTTCCAGCCGTGTGCTGTATTAAGAAAGTCGCGTCGACAGTCGCATACATGCGCATACGTACCACCGATGTCGTTTAGTTTGTCAAAGCCATATTATCTGGACGATGATATGGCTCACGCTTAGTCTCCCTTGAGAGTATTCTTCGAAAGTTCAGAACGGCAAAAGATATCTGACCATAACAATGAGAGAAGTTTGAAAACTTTGGAATTTACATAACAAAAATATACTTCTATAGCTAACACCATTGAATCTAAAGGTTATGTGATATCATTTATGTTGTCAATGGGCACGCCCAGTAGTGCAGGATGCATTTCACCGAACCGGTCAAATCTGGGAACAACGAAGACTTCCCCTTGCAGGTACAACGGTAACGATATTTCCCGGAAGTAAGTTTCTCTATGTCTAAATTGTATTCTGCTGCATGATTAGTGGAACAAGAGACACCCAGAATCTTCTTCCCCTAAAAATAGCAACAATGATATGAACAATTATGAAAAAAAGGGATAATAGCGACATACACAATAGCAAAGAAAAGAAGAAGAAGAAATATAAATGACTTTAAGTAAATGATCAAAAGTTAAAGGAAAATTGCAATCAATATATAATTATCAAAGAACGTTTTAGTATTAATAAGTCGACCAGTATTCCAGTCTGTGAATCATTTGCTTGATCAGTGTACGAGTCGTTTTTTGCTTGTTATTCTCGCGGGAAATTAATTTGACGAAAATGGAACGGGCAAATTTCACGGGAATCTAATTGCAATTTGGCCATAAATTTATATCAAATGGACCTGAATTTCGCGAAAATTGTTTGAATACTGATCTGCATTAACGAATAGTTAGTCTCAGAATTGGCACAACTGATCTAAATGTTCCATAACAATAGTTTCCAGTTAGACTGAACAAAACCGTTTTATATCAAAACGAAACTGAAAACAGTATGACAAGTTCTTTTGCAACGATGCAGAGCTGCACAAAAGTACTGACAACGTCTATTTGCGCTATGATATTTATTCAGACGGAGAGAGCTCACGCACCAAAACCTAACTAGAAAAAATAGACAAGGCAATTTCGCAATTTTTGACGTTGGTTAAAGAGTTATATAGCAGGGTAACGAATATCGGGAAAACCTTTTTCACGCGGGTTTTTTATTTCGCGAATTTTTCACAACCGCGAAAATTAAGTCATACGAAAATATGTAACAATAAGGTTTACGACTGATACAAGTTTCAAAAAGCGGGTACTTACATCCGGTTCAATTAACACAACATCTCCTGTCTGGAAATTAGAAGCTGTAAAAAATCGTTCTGATAAGTCATATGCACACTGACTGAAGTTCCCGGCTCCAGGAGGCCCTTTGGGGCCCGGGGGTCCGGAAGGTCCTGCGGGTCCTACAGGCCCTTGTGGTCCTTTATCACCCTGTGGTCCCAGATTTCCCTTTTGGCCATTAACACCATCAGTACCATTCCTTCCCGGGTCCCCTGCGTCACCTTGCTGACCCGGGGGTCCTTGCGCACCTGCATCTCCCTTGGGCCCTTCGTTACCTGGAGCACCTGGAACACCTTTGGACCCATTGAATCCGGGGGAGCCTATCGGTCCTTGTAACTTGCTGATGCTTTGAATCTACAAGATAAATAGTCAAGTGCAACCATCAGTGACACAATCAGCCATTTTTTTTTGCTTTGATCGCATCTTGACGTCATTTGTGATCTATAAGAGAACTTAAGCAGAGACGATTTGAGACGCAAACGGCAACCGGATGAAGAATAAAACTAATTGACTGGCACACTTTGACGCCAGTGTATCGACAGTGAGGTCGTCGTATTAGCAATTTAAGCCAAACTTGGCTGCCCAGAAAAGTTTAATTATCAATAGTAATGAGAAATTTTAAATTCCGACTGCCGTTAGCGTCTCAAAAACGTTTGTGCTTAAGCCCCCTCATAACTGAACAGACGCACAGATGACGTCGAAATGTGGAAGGAAAAAAAAGTAGTACACGAGGAACAGCAAAATATTTTCAAATATTGCTCCAAGTAAACCGATGATTAAATTCGGAAATTCGTCACTGTCCATATTTAGAAATCTGCAATTATTCTAACGATAATATTTTTTCTGCGTTGTTTTATGATATTTAACCTCATTTATTGGCCATGGCTCTCAACCAATAAGCATATCACGAATTTCTATATTTATCGAGTATGCGTTTTTAACTTACTTGTGAAGTTAGGGAGCTGTTAATAACATCCAGAGAACTTTTTAAGGTGCTATCAGCATCAGACAGGCTTTGAAATGTGTTGTTTAACTACAAAATGAGGAGTCTAAACATTAGGTGAAAACATTATGTTGTATACTAAATTACTTATTACAGAGCATACATGAATGTGCAAAACTCTCAACAGCTGATGGTGTCTGTATTATGCATGCATATCTATCTTCTTCACCCCTGATCTGACAGAATGACTCTTGAGGAAATATTTTTAACAATAATTGTCTTCCGTTTTAATTGTACTTATTCAGTTTTCTTTTAGTTATTGGCCAAAAGTAGTCCCAAAGTAATAGCAGAACTCATATTTACATATCCTTTCAAATTGTTCTTAACCACTGCAGAATTGAATTTTTTCCCAGCTGAAATATGTGGAATGATGGTAATACAACTATTCAAAATGTTTATTTTTGTACTTGGCAGACAGGCCTTACCTTTGTGATGAAAGTTGTCTCCAGAGATACCAGCTCGTGGTGGAAACTTTCATTGACAACACTAACAGATTTATCAAGCTGTTGACTGATGTTACTGATCTGTAAAAAAATCAATTTATCCATTAGAACTTTTGGGGAGACATGCAGGTGGTTTTTTTTTTATTACTGTGCTACAAAATAAGCAGATTAAAAACAACCAAATATAAATTTGAATCAAGCAGTCTGTGTCCAGAGCCTTGATTTGAAGGCTGTTGCATGGGATATATTTTTATTCAAGTGGTGAAATGAAATTTTAGCAGCCAAGCACAATTGTAAAAATTAACTGCAGTGATTGAATTAAAAACTAACTCTTATTTTCTAAATGTAGGAAAAAAATCTTTGATCCTCTTTGATGCTGAGTAAATATCGAATTTAGTATACCTTATCTATAGAGTCTTGCATTCCACTTTTTATCTGCAAAAGTCCATCTTTTGTCTCACTGACTTTATCTCTGGTTTCATTTAAATTGCCTCTTGTATTGTGAAGATCGTGCTGAAGAGTTATCTGTGGAAAGATCAAGGGCATGCAATTTGTTTATAGTGACTGCCTGAAATAATAATTTATTAAAAAAATAACCATGTACAGTGGTGTAGAAATTCAAAATCTGATGTCAAGTAATAGTTATGGTAAACATGACTGCAGATGTGCAAAATAATAAAAGAAAAAAGTTAGAGCAGAATGTAGCAGCAAGTATAGGAATGTCAGAGAACAATTATGGACAGTTTAACAATGTGATCAACCAACAAGCAACATTTTTTGGGGAAACCTGTCATATATCACCAAACATTTTCAAGGCTTGGGCTTGTTTTTTTGTTTTTTTTTAATCTCAGTCATGACTGACCCCATATTGAGCCCCTGATAAGTACACCAAATTTTATCCACCAACCCTCTTAATCTTCCTGCATTAGTTTAGTGGTCCCGTCTGTGCCCACCGAGCTCCTTCCCTTAATGGTTTTGGTACATGTACATATCATTAACCTGTCGCATTTCTTATCGTACCATAAATTTTTTTATCATCGAGATATTGGCTTTAAGTTGGTCGATCTTGTCCTCCAGTGATGAGATATCAGGTGGCGAAACTGACAGGCCCACTTCACTTCTGCTTGAGGGTGCACCACCTTTCACTTCCTGCCCACTTGGTACTTCTAGTGGGAAGAGGAGAAGATCCATTGTCAGTATCACATAAAGTACATAGAAATAAGTTCAAACAACCAAGAGAACAAATGCTGTCAGTTGATTGATGGCAACAGCAAAGAGTTCAAAGAGGTGAGGTCCAAGAATGCTTGGAGAGCAACTTTTCAAGCAAGAAAGAGTAATTCCGTAAAGACTGGTATGAGACCCAACAGCTACTTTTGATCTCTCAAAGTGAACAAAAGGTACCAGAAGAACAATTAATGCTTATTAATGGAATAAACTTTCAGAAGGTCAAATAAAATATCCCTGTATAAGGCTGACTACTATGTAGGAGCATAATGTACTGGTATATTTAGATCGTTAATATAACTCTCTGTTATAAATTGAAAATATTTGTCAATATAGATTATCACTTTTGAATAAAGCGGTTTCTAAACATTACATTCCAATTCAAAACATTCTAGGTCATAGTGAAAAGACTGTGGGAATTTTTCTATGAGTAATTATTTTTTTAAGTGCTGAATTTGGATTTGCATACTTAGTTCAAACAGGTTAACATGAGAAAAAAGAATGAGGCTTGTATGTTAACGGTTAGTAGTAATAAATTTAGGAACTAACACAAATTCAAAGCTCTTTCAAATTTGTTGAAGTTGGCACCATGACACGAAAAATTTTAAATTATTAATAGTGTTTCTAGAATGTCTCAAATGTTGGTAACTCAGTTAAAAACCATCTAGTCAGTCCCTTGTAGAATATAGCCATTAAATGCTTGGCAAACAATTATTGAGCCAACAAACGCTGTCAGAAATGTTATTTAAAATGAACTTTTTTTTGCTTGAGAAAATAAACGTGTACGGTTAACATTGAGAACTAATATAGATCACTTTCATCTTAATTTGCATAAGCATGCCAACGATTTCTGCGTCACATAATCAAGTGAATGTATTGTGACGCTCAATCAAAACACATTCGAAATCAGTAAGGTGTGACACAACATTCGTCCGAAGAGTGCAAAGTCAACATTGATCGAGGGAATTGATATTGCGAACCCTTAAACTGAAATGCACGCTCTCTGTTTATGAAGTGTTTAGTTTCGGTTAAAGTAAAATTCTTTGAAGTTAAAATCCCTTTGTTTACGACAGCGTGAAGTTGCAAAACACTTAGGCATAACAAATCTCAATTGTTCCCGCTGAGTTTCGACATCGTCGATTCATCTGTAATTGACACGTAACGTTCCGTGCTTAAAAATGTTGCCCAAGATTTGGTTTCCTTAACCGATAACCAGCCATAAGGGATTAAAACAAAAACAAAAAACAAAAAAAGATAGATTACAGACATCAATTAGTCGTCCAACACGCTTGACTCGCCTGGAATGTTCACTGAGGTGATTTCTATGGTAACCAGCCTTTAAGCTGACACTTCACAGTTCTAGTACGTGCGCTGACTAAAAATAACCATACATTATTTAAAATGCCAGACCACTGTAGTCTCATCGTCTACAAGCATTAAGAGGAAACTATCCTCGAACGTACCCCGAAGTTTTTCATTTTTGTTCAAGGGACACTTGCTCTTACAAGCTGCCGTAAGTTATCAAGGACATTTTCACATCGAGCACGTGGTCGCTTCTCTTACCTTTTAAGTCTCCTTTTTCCGGGTTACACGCGCAATTTCGCTCGACGATAAGGCCAACTTTGCCAAACATTAAAAGTACCACCAATATTAACGCCGTCACCGAAGTAAGAAGAACAAAAAACAAAATACAACGGTTTAAACAAGATTCTTTTGAAGGTGTGTCCGACAGTTCTGAACAACTTGAATCATCTCTCGATCTGACCCGTAAATTCTTCAGTGGTATATGCGGCTCGTACATATCGTTATAACGTTTTCGATGTCCTGTATTCCCTCCTCCTTGTAAAACACGAACTTGTTCGTTGATAACCGTAGGATCTTCATAATGATGAGATTTTTCTTCGTCGATCTCTCGGCGGGGATTGGTTAGTAAACTTGTTTGAGAGTAGGACAATCGCGGAGACTCAAACCTCACTTCGCAACTGTCTACAGCGTTCGGGGTAAAATCACGATTTGGATATAACGCAAAACCTGTCGACATCTCAGTATGTACGGTTAACTGCTCCAAAAAGCTAACTTGACTAAAGCCACACGAACAGACCCGATTCTAAAACCTTAATAAATACTATAAACAATACAATACCTAACTCCCACGCTAGCATACTAGTGAATGAGTAATTCAATAGTGTGTTTTGCTACGCGCCAAAAAGGAAGCACGTTGATTGGTTTATGATTCCATGAGAGCACGTTCCACGCATTTACCAGTCAAGCCTATTATTTATTCTCACACGTCAATGACCTGTCTAGTAAAAGTTCCGTTTGCTAAAAATTCTCGTACACGGACAATCAGTATCAATTTCCCAATTTGAACCACTGTTATGACATGACCTCTTGGTTTTTCGTCAGGGAGCGTCCCGCAAATACCAACATATGACACGAAAATAACTGTTAGATTTCATCCGAAATATTTCATCTGATGTTTCACAGAAATGAAATTATTTCAATCAAAATTACAAAAAATACAGCACAATCTGGCACTAAAGTAACTGTACAAGAAAAATATAAACAGATAAATAAAGAAAGGAATATGAATATGTATTTAGCCCTCTCATATTTGGTAAAAACCATGACGAAGGAGAGCTAGTTTCGCTCGTCCGAAATGCCGCCCACGTTTGTACATTTTTCTTCCACAACGTTTATTTTTAAAAAACCGGAAGATTACTTCTCAATGGTAAGCGACACTAAGACTGTAATTGTAAATTTCATGATTCCGCTAAAATGCGCGATAATTTTGTAACTTACATCACTCTGGAGCCTGTAAATCCTTAACAAGAATTCTAGGTGAGGCTATCATTCCGAGGTCGGGCCCACCCTGAGGTCACTTTGGAAAAAAAAAACCGAAAAAATATCTGGCTTGGAAAAAGTTAATATTCTCTCTTTGTCATGTCACGGGTACTAATTTCCCCAGAGGAAATTGGAGATTAATGAGGGTGTAGATTATCTTTTAAGCAGTTGGCCATACATCGGAAGGCTTTCTGGTAAAGACCTGTTTTCTTTCGCTTCGACTTTCAATTTATCTATCAACTTGATAGTTAGACAGGAAAAACTTAGGTGAGCGGTCTTTTTGCTCGCACAAATGTGCTCACCTCGAGCAGATTTCGAATTCTAACCTAGCTATCAACAACCACAAGCTTGCAAACTCCTACAACACGTGATTTTTACAGCAGGGCTGAATGAATTGCCTTCGAAGTTTCGTTTATACTAATTCAAGATTATATGGTAAGCTATTAGCATGTACCGTCAAAAAGTTGCATTTGTATCAAATTATTCAGATCATCTATTTTTCTTAAAGCCAGTCTTAAAATAGAATAGAATAGTTCTCATAAGAAATTTATAAATATATATTTTTCAAAGAGTAGCAAACTCCCTCTTACACTGAATTGTTTCTAAGTCACTGAGTTTAGACTGAGTTATACATGAACAGAAGCATATGTTTATGGAACATGCTAAAAGCACGCGTTTACTGGGCGGAGTGAAGGCCGAACGCATTCCTAGAAAAGCCGATGGGAATTAAGATTCTCTGCTCAGCCTGTTTCACTTTCATAAGCAAAGTAACACGCTTCGTGATCAGTGATTCCGGTCCTCAATTCGACCCTCAGGGCTTGGGTATAATTGTCTTAGGGTTCCTAGGCCTAAGAGGGTTGATTTGGGAAGAAAAAAAAAACCTGATACGAGAACGCATAGCTTATGCGGCGGTCCGTGGAAATTTTCTGACGCGGAACACAAGTCGAAGCAACTGTCGTAATTCTTCATTTAAAAGATTTTGTAATTGGCCGGCTTCTGAACGGTGACGCAATCATAACGCTGTTGAACGATTATCTCACAACATAAATTGGGACACGAAATGAAAGGGACCGCAAACCGGAGATGTGACATCTCAGCTGAATCAAAGTATTTATTCCATTGAGCTAAAAATGCCTCTCCAAATAGGAAGTTGTTATGAGGAGTCATTTGCTTTAAGAAGGGTTAGCGAATTCTTGCAGATTCCGAGACAATAATAAACAATTCCGCTTAACAGCTAAGAGTGCTGCAGGGTTTCACAACAATGAGAGGAAAGTGCAATGTTACAATCACTGTTCCCTACTTTGCATTCGCCGGCTTTTGCCGGATGATATATCATCGACAGATCCAACATCGGAATATTTTTAATCGGTTGCGATTGTGCGGTATTCGGTCTTTTCCGCGAACTGGTCATAACACGTCGGCTTATCGATCCGAGTTTTCAGCGAAATGGCAGTCGGCGAATCGACGGTAAATCGATCGTAAACAGACTTTGGAGGCCTAACATAGACGCTTCTACTTCTCGTTAGTTTTTGAGAGCGACCCTCGATCATAAGACAAATTTTGCACTTTTAGAGCTCTGACAGAGCGCGAGGCTTTGATTTCCTTTTGAGACCGCAATAAAACTTAATACAAATAGAAGACTGAAAACTCACTGCAAAAGATAAGAAAATTGAATATGAAGTTTTTGACTCAATACGTTTATTCTACATAACATCTGCACCTCCTTGCAGGTTCAGTAAAACTGACAAGGGCTACTTTTGAGGGAATATATATTCAGTGGATCGTTTGGCTTGGCAGTGGATGAAAGAACGCGGAATAATCTCTATGCGTGTTAAGTCCAAGGTCTAAATCAGTATTTAGTGGCTCATTTGACTTGACAGAGGGCCAAACGAGTTAAACGAGTCGGCTAGTTTGGGGCATGGTTAAAAGTGGCGCTGTATACTGTAATTTAACCGAGTTCCAAGTCAGCTCTGGCTAAGATCTACAAATCGATGAAACCACCAATCTCCCCGAATCTCTTTCGTAATTCTGTCTTCTAAGATGTCATGTATTTCTTTATAAGCTAGTTGAGGGATTTGAGAGTTACATAGGTTGGACACCTTTTTCCGCTGATTAATAAAACTGTTTATGACACCCTTTTGTTGGCTAATGCATTGAAAAATTATAAATGGTGGTTACGGTATGTTTTTCCAAAGCCCCATTTATATAATCTGGGTACCCGAGACAGCCTTCCCCCCGAGGTATCCTGGGCGAGCTAACTTTTCACTTATTTTTTTTCAAAAAAAAAACCGTCGTGTGAGTTATAGCCTTGGGTAGATCATGTTTCATCCTGCAAAAAAGTTATTTCGCATGGAGTTCTCTATAACAAAGCAATCGTTATATTATATCGCGCAGTTTCCTGGTTTGAATTATTAAGGACGTTAATGCGATGTACATTTTAGGCACGAAGATAATATTTTCTTAAATTGTTTGTAAACTTATAAATTTCATATTGATTTCACTGAGTCTCTTAAAGAAATTGGCTCCTTTTTTTTAGAAGAATTGAAGCTAAGAAAGTATAAACATTTCTGTTTACCTCTGCAGAAGATATGTAGCATAGTTTGAAAAACTTAAAAATGTTCAAATTTTCAAATGCCAGCGCTGTGTTATTTTGTTGCCATTGAAAACGCAAAAATTGCCCTTTTGAACTGCAACATTTCATTACGATGATTACCAAGAAAGATTTGAAATAAGCTTTTCTGCCATTTATCACATTTTTTTTTCCTTTTTCTTATCATATTTGTAATGCTGAATTTACTGAAAAATCTTCGGCTTCATTAAACCCGTAACAACATAGTAGCTGCTAAAATTCCTAAAGAAGTTGCAGCGACGCGACTTAACACAAAGTTCTTAGAAACTTCAAGGTCAAGCAAAGACTGATTCATTGTTTGTGAAGATCTGTCTTGGATTAGTTCAATTGTCCAGTGATAAAGAAACTAGTTATCCATCGGATTGTCATGGGATTAGAACATTGAATTGACGCACAATTCATCGAAAGATTTCTTTGTATAAACTTTAAACAAAATGCCGATAGAAAATGAGTCTGTTCATGTCTTTTGTAGCTAAAAAAAGGCGATGACAAAATTCATATGGATGGAAACTGGGAAGGCTTTTTTTATGCGATCATTTCGCATCCTCGTTTTCTTTGTAATAGAGATAATAATTCCTCTTTCGAGTTACTGAGTAAAGAATTAAAAAATGTAAAGTATTCAACGGGAAATTTACCGTCTGATGATCAAAACAACATGGCTTACGAAAGTAAAAGAACTTGCATTAGCACTTTTTGTAAAATGTTGCCGATGAAACATCCAATTTTTGGAAGTACTACGAGTTAAGTGTAAACGAAAAATGATCGTATAAAGTCTTCATTACGTGTACACGCACAAGTTAGAGCTGCTTTCAGAACAATAACATTCCCAGCTCTATTCAACAAGTTTCAAAACACTGACTTCGCGAAATAAAGTCACGACTGATGAAAATTGTTTTAACAGCAAAAACTTAAAACCAGCCGCTTACCTTGAGCAGAATTCTTTTTACAAGAGCAGCTTGGACCAACTTTGCCAAGAATGATTAAAACAACCATGAGGAGTGATACGAGCGAAACTATCAAAATGAGAAATAAGATCAACCGACTCAGCAAGGAATCTCCACCGATGTCGGCTTCGTTGTAATCCACCCCTTCTTCTTCTGGTTCTGTCGGTTTTCTCAGTTCTGTTGGCTCATATAACTCATTGCGCTTCCTTCGAGCGCCCCTATTTATCGATTGCACCTCTAAGAGTCGAGTTGGGTCTTCATATTGGTGAGAAAGATCGCCGCAATTCTCATACGCAGGATTTTGATAGCTGCCTTTAAAAGAACTCAGCTCCTGACCCCCAGAGCCATCTTCTACGCTGTCCACAGCATACGGACTGAATGCTCGAGGTTTTGGCCGATTACTATCATTTTGAGCCATGTTCTGAAATTTAGAAAAGTCTTCTGAAGACATACACAAGCTAAGCGGCTGTCAAATCTGAAAGTATTACGCCGAAACTTTTAAGGATGAATGAACAAGTGACTATGCAAATATTTGACGGAATGTTAACAAGACCGAAGAGGCACTGGATTGGTCCCTTCGATTGGTGGGGTTTGTCTCGCCCTGATATCGTAATGAAGCGTATTGTTCAAACCTCGGGGGTGGAACAAAAGATTCATTTAGTAAAGATATAACAATCTCCTGAATTAGAAAAAAAGTCTTCCTGTAGAAGATTTTTTTTA